ATTTCTGAAACAAAAAAATTTAAATTAATGAAAAAAATTAAAAAAAATAAAGTTGTATACAAAAAAAATTAAATTAAATAAATTCGTATGCAAAAATTGAATTTTTCAGAATTTTTTAAAAAGGAAATATTTAAAAAATAAAAAAATTTAAATTAAAAGATGGGTGGGGCCTTGGGCCATTACCCTGTAAGGGTGGGACCCACAGCATATTTTATCATTATTTTTATAAAAAAAATCAATTTTTTTATTTGCAAACAAGTTCGGCACCTAAAAGATGTTAACAAGGTAACCAAATGCCATTTGATTAAAAAAATTTAATTATAGGGCCCAAAGTATACTTTTTCTATTTCTTAAGGTCATTGTCGTCAGAAGCCCACCTAAAACCCCTCGCGCACATCTTCCGGTAATATGGCAAGGGGAGTTTCACGACTTGCTCCAAAAATTTAGATTCTTGTAGAAAAATTAATATCATACCATCTTCAACTTATTTTATTAAAATAAAAGATCACCTTTAATTTAATCACTAAAAATAAAACATCAAAAATAGTATGTCTATTAAATACTAAAAAAATATTAAGTTCAAATATATATTAGAAAAAAAAAATTAAAAACCATCTTCAATATTATAATAATAATAATGAAATGATATATATATATATATATATAAATTTAATATTATATATAATAATTATAAAATGTAATGTTTTGTTTCAATTTATAGTTAGTCAGGTTTTAAAATTTATGGCTTGTAAAGTTTAGGGGTAAGATCTGTCATTTGTTGGAAGATGAGGAACTAATGGTAAAACATTGTTCACCTCCTCCTTTTATATGGGTATGGTCCAATTAGAGGTTAATATGGATTGTTTTCATGTGAAAGAGGAGGGAGTGCATATTCGTTCCCCCCGCCCCCCCCTTCTTCCTCTTTTCTCCTTATGGTATACTTACTATTTATAGTAAGAAAGATGGACCAAAGGAGGTTTCGGACTTTTTGGGACAAAAACTCTTAGCAATTTGATCATCAAAGAGAAGAAAGCAGAAGCACTTTTTGAGATTTCAAAAAAAGATGAGTTTTTATGGTTTCAATAAATTATGAGTTATTACCTTTTATATATAAGCTACTTGGTTTTATGATGTTAGATATTGTGTTAAGTGTCAAAGATAACATTGTATCAAGACTGTTACAAGACTTCATCGGTCAAAGCTTCATCCAATGAGACCCTTCATCGATCAAAGTTTCATCTAATATGGCCCTTCATCGCTCAAAGCTTCATCCGATGAGGCCCTTCATCGCTCAATGTTTTAATCAGATTGACCTTCATCGCTCAATGTTTTAACCAGATTGACCTTCATCGCTCAATGCGTTAACCGGATTGACCTTCATCGCGCAATGTGTTAACCGGATTGACCTTCATCACGCAATGTGTTAACCGGATTGACCTTCATCGCTCAATGTGTTGATCGGATTGAACCCTCATCGCTTACAATGTTGTCCGATTAGAACCTTCATCGACCAAAGTGTTATCCGGATTAAACCCTCATCACTCACATTGTTGACCGGATTGAACCTCATCGCTTACTGTGTTGTCCGGATTGAACCTCATCGCTTACCGTATTATCTGAAATAAGATGCTTTGAACTCTAACAGCGATAGATGAAATGGTGGTGTAACACTGATAGATGAAATAACGGTGTAACCGCGATAGAGGAAATGATGGTCTAACCGTGATAGATGAAATGACGGTGTAACCACGATAGAGGAAATGGTGGTGTAACCGCGATAGATGAAATGGCGGTATAACCGTTATAAATGTTTGATAATTTTATCATTAAAAATCATGTATGAACTGTATTAAAGTCTTACAGCAAATTTTATTTACAGGAGGAAATTTCACTCACTAGATCTTCTGGTCTAACCTTCATTTGTTGTAATAATTTATTTTGCAGGTCATCAATCATCGAAGGATAAAGGCAAAAGGAAGATATGAAAGAATTATAGAAGAAAGTTTTTGTTATGACAATAATTTTTGTGTTAATTCAAACTTTATTTTATGTGAATATACTTGAAATGTTTGTAAATATTAGAACCTGACGTATGTTATAGCATGCATTTTGTTTGTTAGTACTTGTATGGGTTGTTACATAAAATCTTAGTATTATATTAATATTTGATTTGTACATGTCAACTTTATTAACCTCCAAATATAGAGATCATGTTTGAAAATCTCTATCTTTTTAGTGTTTTAAACCATCTCCAACATTAAAAACACAAAAAATAAGGTGTTTTCATTTTCAACTGAACACTAAAATACTAAAAAAATAGACGTCAAAATTGTTGGGCTCGATAAATATATATTAATATAATAGTAAGTTTTTGTAGTTATGTGTGTGTGTGTGTGTGTGTGTATATATATATATATATATATATAGCCATAGGTTCATTTGAGAATGGTAAATGTTTGAGAAGTAAAGAAGTGATCTTAACCCTTTACAAAGTAAAAATTTGCAGCTTTAACTGTGAAGCACCGAATAATTCCTTGCATGGTATGCGGAAGATAGATGGGTAGTTCGTGACATTTATAAATAGGCGGCAAAAAGAGTGCATATGTGAACCCGTGTGATTCTCATATGAGTTATGTTCATATGTGAACATGTGTAATCCACATATGAACCTGTGTGATCCACTTATGAACTAATTAATTGATTCACATATAAACTCGTGTGATTTACATATGAACTAATTAACTAATTAACATATGAACTATGAGTTCACATATGCACTTATGGGTTCATATATGCACTTGTTTGCCGTCTATTTGTAAAAGTTACGAAATTACATCTTTATTTTCGTTTGACCAGTTAAAACTATAATTATTGACCAATCTTGATCGTATGAAAGGTTGGGATCACTTATTACTTCTCAATTACTTACCACTTTTCAAATGAACCTCTCCATATATATATATATATATATATATATTGATTAACAATCTAATATATTAAGATGTTTATGCTTAGGGTGAATTACATTTTTCGTCCATGTGGGCTACCAAAACTCTTGTTATTGTCCCTCGACTTTATTAATTAAATGGTTGCCCTTGTGGTTTGCATTTTGCTTTGATTTAGGTCCCTGGATCTAACGACCGTTAAGCAACGACGTTAAGTTCCCTCATGTAACTAGCACATGTGGGGAAATTTGGTCTTTTTATACCATATTTGTAAAAGAATTTCTATTGTACAAATATTTGAAGCTTAAGTGTTTAATAATTCAATATTTTTTATGTATGATCAAACACATCATCATCAAGAATACAAACCCAAAACATATTATACCAAAACCTTTTCTCGAACATCAACCCATATAAAGGACAGGTGAAGAACATGACTTAATAAAGATAACTCTGATTAAGAACATAGATCAAAACCCAAAAGCATCAAGAAAAACCTTGAATCTAAAATCAAACTCAAATAATATATATTTATTCTAATGACATATTTTTCAAACCAGATAATGAATATTAAAAATATTAACCAAGGTGAAAAACATCAAACAAAAAGTTATGGTATAAAACAAAAAATCAAAACCCTAGAATTCATTTATAAAGTTAAAACTCCAAATCTAGATCTCAAGGAAAATCTCATTCACACACAAAACTAGAATCAAAACATGTTTAAAACACAACAGAAATAATCTATTACAATCAGATTCCTTCAACTCAACCCATTCATCTATCTAAATAAAAAAAAGCAAAATCAGAAATCTAAGCTACCGATTGTTTAAGCCTAACCTACCTATGTGAATCGATTAGGAAGATGATGCTTTTGATTCAAGATCCTGGTGGTGCTCGTCAATATTTAACAGACCTCGACTGTGCCGCTGTGCACGTTGGGGGGGAGGTTAATCGAAACCACAAGACGAAAATGTTTCAAATCTAAAACAAAACCGCAACAACAATGATGCTTCAAACTTAAAACAAAAGCATGGAGTTGCAGGTGCAATGGAGTGCATGTGTGACGTACTTCTTTTATTGCAGGTGGCCGTAGTGGAGATATTTTAATGTAACAACTAACCGTCGAGAGTGATATTAAGAGAGAGATTTGGTCGGAGTTGGATAGACCTTGACTGAGTGCCACCATGCATGGTTAGGGCAGAAGGTACGAGTGTTGCTGAGAGATTTAAACGGAGTTGA